CATGCCAGCCTCCACTCCTTGAAAATAATTAAATGAAATGACGTGCCTGATTTTTTCAGCTGGGTAATGCACTGTGATTTGCATCTCTTGAAGGAATTTATCTTAAGTCCTGAGGCTGAGCCATTTGGGACAACTGAGTTGGTTTTTGCTTTGCTTTGGCTCATGTGGATGGTACATTATTGGCAAACACAAATGTGGACTAAACGCTTCACTGAGACTCCATTAAGAAATCTGTTCTTCGCGATGCGAATATACCCTAACTTCTTTATATTGGCAAAATTCTCTATCTTGCTGTTACCTAGGTTCTGTACAGACTTCGGGGGACAAATTATTTGTGGTTTAAGAACAGGCTTTGGACTAAGTCCCTTTTTCGCCTATTGGGGAAAGTGGGAGTCTGGAAAACAGCCTTGATCTTAATGCCCAAGCGAAACACGTTCTAGCACAAATATCGCTGGTACAGCAGCATAACCTGTGTCTTCTAAGCAGACATGGACCAAAGACGGTGAGGGCTATTAAAAACAAATAAAACCTCCTTCCTTCCCCCAGAGTGGGAGTTCCTCAGTCAGGGCACAGAATCCGCTGGGGAGGGGCTATTTGCGTGCGGTGGAGCCCTCGGCTGGGAGTGTGGGATGCGGTGTTCCCGAGGCGACAGATGAGGGATGTGGGCCGTGTGGGAAGTGAACTGCGGAATTCTCCCCTCGGCTCCTGCGGCGGGGCTCCGAAGGAGACATGAGGATGCAGAGTGCAGCCCTGGAGACAGAGGGCCAGGGGGCGGGCAAGGATACCACCCCGAGCGCGCGCACCGCGCTCCCAGGTTCCTCGGCCTCGCCTTCCCAGCCACCCACGCCGGCCCGAGGCAGTCGGTCCCCTCGTGGCAGCGAGTTCAGGGAGCCCGCCGCCAGCCCTCCACCGCCCCCGCCCCTCGATTCTAGTTCTTCAGGCGGGTGTGGATCTAGAGCCGCAGGAACCAGGGAAGACCCGGGGAGGGGCGCGGGGATCACGCTCCCCCAACCCGCCGGCCGCAGCGCGTAC